CACAAACAGAGTAATGTTGTGTATGCTGTTCAGTGTCAGGAGGGTGATCAGTCTTACATCGGGGAAACTAAACAGCCACTGGCCAAAAGGATGGCCCAGCACAGAAGATCAACATCATCAGGCCAGGACTCTGCGGTCTACACTCATCTCCAGGCCAGCGGTCACTCTTTCAAGGATGAAGATGTTCACATCCTGGACAGAGAGGAACGATGGTTTGAGAGAGGAGTAAAGGAGGCCATCTTTGTGAAAAGAAACCGTCCATCATTAAACAGGGGTGGAGGCCTGCGGGTTCAACTGTCCCCCTCTTACAATGCTGTGATTGCTAGTATCACTCAGCCCTCTGTGAACAGTAAACAGCCATCAGTGTGCTAATGATCCATTGTTAGGCTGATGGTCCTTCTTGAGCATGTGAGCAGCTGGTTTTGGTTGTCAGCAGCAAAACTGGTTGATCCACTCTGAGAAGGTGCTATTTAAGAGACTGAGGTGAAAACAGCACCTCAGACTGAGGAAGTCTCTCGGATGAGAGACGAAACGTTTCTACATTTTTTTTTTTTTTGCTTTGTTTTGTTTTTTGAATGTCCAGAGGACCAGATATAACTTTTATAGATTTTTCTACCTGGATTATTGAGCATGCATCAGGATATAATTTGACTTATTCATCAGATTTACTGTAAATATGTTTCTGTTGAGTTTTATTAGAACAAAACTCTGTCTAATAATCTAGAGGTGATTAGATATCCAGTGACAAAAAGAGAAAGTTCAGTAGTCCGTTGAGTCGTTATAGAAAAGTTGTAGTTTACTTCAACTATTTTATTGTATCAAACAAATGTTCATTTTAACCAAAAATGAAGAACTTCATCTCTGTTATCAGGGGCAGCTGTGCAGTAGTGTTTCCACTCTGTTTCTGGCCTGCGAGGTGGGGCGCTTCAACAAAACAAAGAACCCAAGTTCATGTATTGCCTTTAATAACCGTTTTAATAGTTTTATATCTTTGATTTATGTACCTGGTGAGCAGCTTTTGTAATGGTGGTGTGTTCTTCAAGCTTTTTCAAGACCTTGTTAGAAAAAACAAACCTTGGTTTTATGTGGGTTGCAACATTTTGAATTAATGTAATTTAACAAATGATCAAATATAAGAAATTAGTTTTTGCAGTGATTTTATCAAATCTGCTTAGTTTTGCTTTATTACCATTTTCACAACTTTTAATATAGTTCAAGTATGTAGGAGAGTGGTGGTGCAGAGGTTAGAGAAGGTGGGCCTGTGAGCAGATCGCCGGTTCGACTCCCTGGACCGACAACAAAATGTGTGGGTGGAAAAGGTGAAACACCCACACCTGCCTCCACCCTCATTTGCCCCACCCTGGGCCCTTGAGCAAGGCCCTTACCCCCCCCCCCAATTCTGCTCCCAAACCAGTTCTCTCTTCAAAATGAGTCCTTGTGACTCAATGAGTCGACTTGTATAAATAAAGGTTAAATAAAAGAAATGTTAAGTGACAAAAAAGTCCTTAAATTAAATTTTTTAAACATAACATGGTGGTCCATGTGTCAAAACGTCATTACGCTAATACTTTTAAAAAGTTGACACGGTGGGGACTAATGATGTATGATTACTACTACATCTCTACAAAGGTAATGAACAAATCATTCTAGACACTAATCAGTGTTTTAGATCACATTCATACACCGATGGGACACACATCGAAGGCAATGAGGGGTTCAGTGTCTTGCCCAGGGACACTTCAACATGTGACTGCTGGTGGAATCGAATCCCCAACTCTCCCATTGGAGGATGATTGCTCTAACCACTCAGCCACAGCCGCCCCTAAACAAACTGTCTGAACATCCGGCATTGCTCTTCCTCTATTACCAGACTACTCAACAGAGAGTTGAACGTGGTACTGCCCTGCAGTGGTACTGCCCTGCAGTGATACTGCCCTGCAGTGGTACTGCCCTGCAGTGATACTGCCCTGCAGTGGTACTGCCCTGCAGTGGTACTGCCTGCAGTGATACTGCCCTGCAGTGATACTGCCCTGCAGTGATACTGCCTGCAGTGATACTGCCTGCAGTGATACTGCCTGCAGTGATACTGCCCTGCAGTGATACTGCCCTGCAGTGATACTGCCCTGCAGTGATACTGCCCTGTTGAAACTCTTGTGAACCCAGGCACACTCACACGTATTTGACCAGTAGCAGAGCTGAGGTCTGTGGCTGCTCGTCAATGAAGTGTTGAGAGTTGGGCCTAGGATTGATCATGTGTTGTGTTTGCCAATCTGTAATTGTAGAGTCTGTCTGCTCCTCTTCAAACATGAAGGCTGCAGGAACTCAAATTAAAGTTTGTATGTATAGGTGTTGCCTCCTGTTGTGTAATACAGCAGACACTGTATTACTTCCTGTAGGTACAGAGACTGATGGTATTAAATTACAGTCCTGAACCTCGACTAAGCTGTTTGCTCAGGCTGTGATGTGTTTAATGTCTGCTCCTTATGTGGTTAAACTGTTTCTGCAATGATATCTGCTTGTTCTGGGTGTATTTTTTAAACAAATGAACCTAAAGGAATAATTGTCTGAGGCTGCAGAGCAGAGTTCAACGAAGACCAACCTCTGTGAAAGAAAATATGGATTTCTCACCTCTATAAAACAAGTTTTACCACTGACTTATCTATGTAAATAACTTTGTCATAAGAAACTGACAGTGACATTTTTGAAATAGCATTCACATGAACCGCAGTTACCGTTTTCAGAGTGCAGTACTTTTAAGATGGCGGCATTTCTCTTTAGCCAATAGCTAATCAGTCTTGATAAAAATTAGCTCCATTTGTCCAAACTAAAGTCGTCCAAAGAGCGACTTTCAACACTTAATACAATAATCATTTGTAACATTTTCACAGAATCCCATTTCAAAGTTTTTTTTTGTCTTGAACTTTTTTGACTCTACCATTTTAAAGTTCTAACTTTTCCTTTAATTTCTGGACTGATCACTGTTGGCCTTGTGGCCAACTAGTGTTTGTGTTGGTACTATGATAATCGAGCAGCCCGGATACTTCAGAACGATTCATCATCTTACATTTAACATGAAGTAATCCTGACTACTTAAAGTACCGGTAGTACTACTTATTACCAGTACTCAGTGGGTGGAAGTATCCGCAGTCCCCAACACATTAACCTGTGTATCCATGGCAACACAAGTTTTTGGAGTGTCTCGACAGGTTAGTAATGAACATGGCGAACTGAGAAAAAGATGAACGAGATCATCTGCACAATTCAATAAGAAGACGTGAACAAGACTCGACGCTTGTGTGTAATAAATGTGTGTGTTTCTTAGTCAGAGCAGGACTTGTCTGGTGCCTTGAAGCTGCTTTTTGTCTCATTTCAAAGTGTTGTAGAAATTAAAGCTGCTTTGATTGTAGATTTTGGTGTCTTTCTTCCTGGAGTATGGTTCAGGTGCCGATGTTGGAATGCACACACACACTTACCAGTCTATTGAAGACTGAAGCAGAACCAAGTTTAACAGCAAGTAATCCTGTTTGTGAATGACAATTCTCAAGTGTTTGTGTGTGTGTGTGTACTGTGTGTGTTTCCTTCAAAGACTTTCATAACACAGTTCCACACAGACCAGTCCATCTTCCTCCTCCCTCTGGTCATTCATAAATCACAGATGCATTCAGGCAGAACGGAGACTCTCCCTCGTCGTTTACTTTAATAAATTAACTCTACCGAGATCTTCTGGGTGTTTTTTTTTGTTTTTGTTTTACTAACTACAAAGTTCCTGTGCGTCATTATCAATATTCACTTGGTGATAAATCTGTTTGTTGTTGTTTTTGATCCCACGAGCGTGTGATCACACACTGATGTCATCAGTTCATCACATTACCGAGTCGCAGCACTGCATCTTATCAGAGACGCTGAGGGAAACGCAGCAAACTATTGATGAAGTGTAAAGTTTTACCAGAACTGTCCTTGCTGTACTCAAACAATATCTTGATGCTTTGTTCCCTGGAGTGCTTTGGATACAATATGCACCTGTCTTGTACCTGTACCTGTTGGCCTATGGACCGTCCTTCCTCACCAGCCTTTACATGTGTGTTCCCATGTGTTCAGGTGGCGTAAACTCTTAAAGTTTATGGCTGCCAGGTTGGCCACCAACTGTAGGTGGGGGACAAACTCGATTTCCACACGAGCAGGACTAGTCAGTGCGAACACTCCAACTTCCTCCATGTCCTCTCTACATCCATATATCTCCTCTTTGTCATTTTCCTGGCAGCTGCATTTCTAACATCCTTCTACCAATATAACCACTGTCCCCCCTCTGGACATGTCCAAACCACTGTCCCTCCTCTGGACATGTCCAAACCATCTCAGTCTGGTCTCTCTAACTTTATCTCCCAGTTGTTCAACCTGTGCTGTACCTCTGATGATCTCATCCCTAATCTTATCCATCCTTGTCACTGCTAAGGAGAACCTCAACATCTTCATTTTTGCCACTTCCAGTTCTGTCTCCTGTCTTTTTTTTGTCCATGTCTCTGTCTCCAGACCATACAACATAGCTGGTCTCATCACTGTCTTGTAAACTTTTCCTTTGACCTTTGCTGATACTCTTTAGTTACAAATCTCTCCTGAATCTTTTCTCCATCCACTCCATCCTGCCTGGACTCTCTTCTTCACCTCTTTATCACACTCCCCATTTTCCTGGACAGTGGATCCCAAGTACTTGAAGTCCTGCACCTTTGTGACCTCTGCTCCGTGTAGCCTCACTGTTCCACCGGCCTCTCACTCATCGTTCATTATGACTCCAGTCTCAATCATAGTAAGGAAGGTTTGGGTTAAAATACTGAAGAAAAGAGTTTCAGTACATTAGTTTATTGATTATTAAATTTGATAATTATTTTTTTTTTTCCCACTCAAGCAGGCCTTCAAAATAATTTTCTTTTTCACATGCTCATTTACTGCGTTTGATATATCTTGCCTTTTTTTTCCCCCTCCTATATTTCTCTCTGGAGCAGAGGTTGTGGTGGAGTTCGAGTATGAATCTCTCCATGAGGACGAACTGACGTTGCGACTGGGCGACATCATCAAGAATGTGCGCTACATTGAGGAGGAGGGCTGGATGGAGGGAGAACTCGATGGGAAAAAGGGGGTATTCCCCGACAACTTTGTGAAGGTGGGAAACATAATTTTACTCTGTAAAGTGGATGCTAATGCTAATGCTCATGTCGCACCACTAAGATGATTGTATGAGTTTAGAGCTGGTTGAGCATGCATCGGACAGCCGGAGAGCTTGTTTTTCTGTGTACAAGTGAATATTCATTTCCTTTGATATTGTAACAGACAGAGCATTAAAACCACACAGTAAATGCAGTGGTGCTTGAAAGTTTGTGAACCCTATTATTTTCTATATGTCTGCATAAGTATGAGCTAAAGCAGCATCAGATTTTCACATAAGTCCTAAAAGTAGATAAAGAGAACCCAGTTAAACAAATGAGACAAAAATATTATACTTGGTCATTTATTTATTGAGGAAAATAATCTAATATTATATATTTATGGGTGGTAAAAGTATGTGAACCTCTATGATTCGCAGTTCTGATCATCATCCCATTGATTGAAAACATCAGACTCTAATTTCACCTTCAAACTAACTGATAATACTAGAGGTTCACATACTTTTACCATCACAAATATGTTATATTGGATCATTTTCCTCAATAAATAAATGACCAAGTATAATATTTTGTCTCATTTGTTAAACTGGGTTCTCTTTACCTACTTTTACGAGTTGTGTGAAAATCAGATGATGTTTTAGGTCATATTTATGCAGAAATATAGAAAATTACAGAGTTGACAAATTTTCAAGCACCACTGTAGTTTTATTACAGCTGAGAGTTGAGTCAGATGTAGTCCACTTAAATTTAAGACGCTCTGAGGGTTCTTGTTAATTAGATTTTCTTCTGTTGAATCGTGAATTCTTCTTTTAAGCATTTCATACTTTCTGGTGTTTTTTTTAACTTGTATTTCTGGTTTCTGCTTGTCTTTACATTTAACACCAGATTGATTAAAAAAAATACTAAAGTCTTTATTTTGACTAACTGACCCTCTGCAGTGTTTCCCCTCGTTAACTAGCCATGGCGGGGTGCTCATCTCATCCAGGATTTTTGTTGATGGGTGTGGATGAAGACATGTCTGAGCGCAGCTTGTACTAACAGTTTCTGAGTGAGGGTGGGGGTGTTCGGCATGAGGGAAGAGGCAATGTGAGTGCTGCCTTTAGCTTTTTAGCTACAAAGCCTGTATTTTGCGCCGCTAGCTTAGTGCTATGTCAGTGCCGGGGGGTGGGGGGTTTGATTTGGTAGGCGGGGTGCTCAGTTCTGTTGACGGGGTGGGGCACCCCGCTTGTATAATGGTAGGGGAAACACTGCTCTGGTGCTCAGACTTAATTAAAAGCAAGTGTTCCTGTATAAAACTTGTTGAATCGATGGGTTCTAAAACCAAATCTAAAAACCAATGAATAGGGGTGCAAATCAGCAGCTTTACCACAATACGATATTATATTGATTTGTTTTTACGATATGATTTTTCTCGATATCATGTCTGTCACGATACAATTTCAATTCTATTCGATTCACAAGTCTGCGATCGATATATTGCGATATCAAATGCCCATCTCATTTACATATAAATACATTTAATGATTTAACCATTTTATTTCTGTTATTACAGGCACCAGGCATTTAAATAAGACATTTTTTTCTTAATTAATGAAAAAATTAAAATAAAGGACCAGTTCAGTATCGTCTCACATTTCTCATGTTTAGTTGCATTTTTTAAACCAGTTAACTTAAGTGTCCTGATTACCTTTCAGTTCTAAAGAAACAAAAATAGATATTGAGCTTACATAACATGGCTATCAATGCCGTGTTTCTTCTTCATGTGAACGGCCAAATTTGTTGTTTCCTGAGTATTTGAACTCACACTGGCACCTGTTGCATACGGCATGAGTTCTCTGTGGAGCCGTCCTTCTGTTGGAATCAAAATATTTCCAGTGTTGATTTAAATCCAGCAGGAGAGTGAATTTCATTTTCTGTGTTTTCTGCCTCGTCTGCCATGTTGCTGAGGTGGCCGCAGAGCGCAGCCGCACACGGAACTGGTGTCACAGACGTGCCTTGGGAATTTCAAAATAAAAGCATATTTTAAAGATGACGATATCAATCGATTTTTTTAGTTTTGCCACGATATAATTGAATCATTGAATCAATATATCGATTTAAATTGATGTCTTGTTACACCCCATACCGATGAACTTGTCATATATTTTTTGTCATATGTCATATATGTTTTAGGTATAGTCCCTTAGAATAAAGATGCATAACACAAGCATTATTTTGGCATTACTTTCCAGCGTTTTATCCAAGTTTCAGACCATGAGGGTGAGGAGGAAGGGATGTCACTCATTTGCATGACATTCTTTGTTTAGTTTGTCTTTGTATTTATGTTGATGGTGCTTGGGCTGCTGACAGTATCAGTCCACCTGATCAGCATGTCTAATCAATGCAAATGTTCACTTATCTACCTTCAGCCCATCAGCATTAGATACATGGTCCATCTATGCCCAGCATACATAAATTCTCTTACGGTTATAGGCGTTGTTCTGTTCATACAACATTTTAGAGGTTATTTTATTTTAGACTTATTTAAAAATCATTACATTTGATTGGCTGATTTCTTTAGAAACCCTCTTACTGAGACAGTAAGTTTTTTTTGGCTACTGTTAAATTTCCATCCAAATTATTTAAATTACATGTTGTACTTGAATGCAACAGACTGTGCGCCTCAAATTCTTCTGGGTAATCTTGGGTGGAATTTTCAGGATTGCGTTCAGATTGGTTGTCCCTGGTATTTTACAAACCAGATTCCAAAAAAGTTGGGACACTAAACAAATTGTGAATAAAAACTGAATGCAATGATGTGGAGATGACAAATGTCAATATTTTATTCGTAATATAATATAGATGACGGATCAAAAGTTTAATCTGAGTAAATGTAACATTTTAAAGGAAAAATATGTTGATTCAAAATTTCACAGTGTCAACAAATCCCAAAAAAGTTGGGACAAGTAGCAATAAGTGGCTGGAAAAAGGAAATTGAGCATATAACAAACAGCTGGAAGACCAATTAACACTAATTAGGTCAATTGACAACATGATTGGGTACAAAAAGAGCTTCTCAGAGTGTCAGTGTCTCTCAGAAGCCAAGATGGTAAGAGGATCACCAATTCCACCATTGTTGCGCAGAAAGATAGTGCAGCAATACCAGAATGGTGTTACCCAGCGTAAAATAACAAAGACTTTTAAGTTATCATCATCAACCGTGCATAACATCATCAAAAGATTCAGAGAATCTGGAACAATCGCTGCGTGTAAGGGTCAAGGCCGTAAAACTCTACTGGATGCTCGTGATCTCTGGGCCCTTAAACATCACTGCACCTCAAACAGGAATGCCACTGTCAAGGAAATAACAGAATGGGCTCAGGAATACTTCCAGAAAGCATCATCAGTGAACACAATCCACCGTGCCATCCGCCGTTGCCAGCTGAAACTCTACAGTGCAAAGAGGAAGCCATTTCTAAGCAAGCTCCACAAGCTCAGACATTTGCACTGGGCCAGGGGTCATTTAAAATGGAGTGTGACAAAATGGAAGACTGTTCTGTGGTCAGATGAGTCACAATTTGAAGTTCTTTATGGAACACTAAGACGCCATGTCATCCGGACCAGAGAGGACAAGGATAGCCCAAGTTGTTATCAACGCTCCGTTCAGAAGCCTGCATCACTGATGGTATGGGGTTGCATGAGCGCTTGTGGCATGGGCAGCTTGCATGTCTGGAAAGGCACCATTAATGCAGAGAACTATGTTCAGGTTCTAGAACAACATATGCTCCCATCTAGACGTCATCTCTTTCAGGGAGGACCCTGCATTTTTCAACACGATAATGCCAGACCACATTCTGCAGCAATCACAACATCATGGCTACGTAGGAGAAGGATCCGGGTACTGAAATGGCCAGCCTGCAGTCCAGATCTTTCACCTATAGAGAACATTTGGCGCATCATAAAGAGGAAGGTGCGACAAAGAAGGCCCAAGACGATTGAACAGTTAGAGGCCTGTATTAGACATAAATGGGAGAGCATTCCTATTTCTAAATTTGAGAAACTGGTCTCCTCTGTCCCCAGACGTCTGAGTGTTGTAAGAAGAAGTGGGGATGCCACACAGTGGTAAAAATTCAATTAAAAAATTAAATTCAATTCAAAAATACTTTATTAATCCCAGAGGGAAATTATTTGTTGTTATAACTCATTAACCTCATTTCATTAAGAGATGTTATAGATACTGATGGCTGTAGGCAGGAAGGATCTCTTGTAAAGGTCCATCCCACTGTGGATCCTAAGAAACTGGCTGCAGATGCCGTCTGATCCGTCCACCCAGACTCGGCTGGCCTCTCAGTTCCCCTCGGGCTGTAGGACCGCCTAAATGTCAGGCAGAACTCCTCCCAGAGCGATGGCCACTCCTCCCAGCAGTCTGCCGAGCTCCTCGTCACTGCAGACAGCCAACTGTAGGTGCCGAGGGACGATCCTGTCCTTCTGCTGTCATGAGCCGTGTTTCCTGCTAATTCCAGGATCTCAGTGGTCAGGCACTCGAGCACAGCTGGCAGGTAGATGAGAATGCGTCCACAGAACATCCTTTTCAACTCACTTGAGATTTGGGCCTGTAACTGAGATATTATTTGAGCTTTTGAGATGTTAATCAGCTGCTGTTGGTTGTAGAAAACTACCTTGTTGCCAAGGTTACGCATCATTTTAACAAATGTCCAAAACTAAAACGAGTTTCAGTAAAAATCCTTTCAGCTGCACAGCATCCGATACCAGAGGAAACAATCATCCAATAAATGTGATTTATATCCAGAAAAAGAGGAATTAAAGTTTCCAAAAGCAAAATCTCAAAATGAAAGTAACAGAGCTGCTCCAACATGCAGCCACCTTGAGCAGCGCAATTCTAGAACATGGACTTGGAAAAAAATGGACTTGTCCCAACTTTTTGGGGATTTGTTGATGCCATGAAATTTGGAAACAACAGATTTTTCCCTTACAATGATGCATTCTCTCAGTTTAAACT